CATTGCGAAAGTGACTGCAGCTCCATTGATCGCCAAATTCTCCTTATCTCCAGCCAAGACTACATACACACAGAACATACTATCACAGCAAGCCTATTCAACCGGATCATTGGCAAAGGCGTCTCTTAACTCCTACAATAGCATCCAAGCAGGAGGACCAGTAGTCTCACAGGTGTATGCTGCTCCTACTGCTGGATATGCGACATCGCCTGCCTTGAGAGTGCAGCAGTCACAGATCGTCGGAGGGCACTACGCAGCTGTGGCGCCAGCAGTAGCGCAGTACGCCCAGTACAGTCCAGCTCCAGTGGCAGCGTCCGTTAACTACGCAGCTCCATCAGTGTCACAATACTCAAGTTCTTCTGTGTCTCACGTGTCGGCTCCATCTTCGAGCTACTTTACCCCAGCACAGCATGGTGCAGTGGTCAGTCAGTACTCATCCCCGGTAGTGGCACAACACCAGCAGTACAATGCGCCAGTGGTCGCGCAGTACTCAGCGCCAGCTATAGTGCAACACTCAGCGCCGGCAGTGGCTCAGTACTCAGCACCAGCAGTGGCTCAATACTCGGCCCCGTCAGTGGCTCATTACTCTACACCAGCAGTAGCATCAGTGCGTCAGTACTCAAGTGCCCCCGTCAGTGTGGCCCACGTCTCGTCGCCCGCCTACACTGCAGTGGCCGCTCCTGCAGTTGCCAAGGTCGCAGCAGCACCCCTCGCCGTCAAGAATGTTCACACTGAATTTTTAGAGAATTATGTAAGTACTACTTTTTAAGATGTTTAATTATGACTGCCAGACTCGCCGTATATTAGACCTCTTCGTATCTCTATTTATTCGAATATCTGTGTGTTAATTATGCACAAACTTATTTTTATAAATTATCTACTACATTTTTCATTATTTATATTTTTTTGAAAGATCGATAAGATAAGTAATATAAAACAAATATCACGGTCTTTTTAAAGTTCAAACAACAAGTGAAATTACAAAACAGAAATATTTTAATAATTAAACAATGAAATTCAATGTCAATTTAAAGGAATTAAAATAAAGTATTCATAAAAATACATGGAACTGGTACAAAATTAACAAACATAAGTCTTAACAATCTAAAACATTTTGTTCAACTTAATTGGCAACCATGATCCGTGTAAAAATATTTTAAGTTTCAAGTTACAAAAATATGCTAAACATATCAGCCATCAAACAATGCACTACCATTGAGTTTTATAATAAAATGGACAGTAGTCCTAAATTACAACTTGTACTTGGATGACCCTAGCCTAGTCGATAGAGGCAAAGAAGAACAAAAATATTTCCATTACCAAAAATTTTTACGTAAACAATCATTGAAATTAATAAATTATTCATTCGTAGCTTTTTCTAAATCAATCCAGCAGTCTTAATTACAGTTTAATAGCCATTAATTTGAAGTTTATAGTCCTTCTTTCCGTTTACTAAGAAAATTCTTTACGTTTTTCTTGAGTATTGACATAAAGTTTATGTGTGTAACTAATGTGCCTCAGAACATTGCGGCATGATATGGAATAAGTTACTTCATATCCCTACAACTAATGCAGTGACGTAATCATTTTGATTGGCTGTCGAGTTAGATCCAGGACTGGTTCCACCACATCGACAATCTTGACCGATTACCTGCTCACTCACTCTGCACAAATGTGAGAAATTGTCACGCGTTCACCCGTTCATGTTTACTCTCGTGTTGTGCAACGGTCTACAAACCCACTAATTTTATTTGATTGATTAGGAGTAGGTGGACATCTAATTGCTTCAGTTTTTAATTAACGTAGCGTTACTAAAAAACTGGGTGTCTGATTTGCAGATTGGAATTCATAACATTTATTTAAGTTATGTCATTAGTTTGTCCATTTATGTTAGTGTACGGTAGAATTAATGGTGACTTGTTTGAGGTCAAGGTTACCTAATGTTGCTGATCGATTTTATTAAACGTTTGTACAATGGTCACTAATGAAAATGTCAAATACATTCTGATGTCCTCTTAATGATATGGTTAAGATTGGTTTATGCGTGTTTAGATATCGAACGATAGATCACGGTGTGATTAGGTCTTGGTCTTAAACTTAACAATAAGTGAAGGTAACTTTAATTTATTGTCCGCGCTACATTAAGTAAACACAAGGACTATGAATTTAATATCTAACTTATTCACAATACGATTACGTAAACTGACCGTTCGGTATTGCAGACAATGTTGAGCTACTTTAGCTAAGCTATCTACAGAAATTGTTTCGCAGAAAGGACCAAAACTATATGTAAGTAGGTGGTTAGGTACCATTTAAAAGCATGTTGCATACAACATGTATATTATTTTATTTACATAATATATATAGAACTGAAATCAGATTTCCTCCGAAGTCGTGGACTTCAGTCCATTTTAAAAAGTTAACGCCAGTAACCAAACTTTTTATTGTTTAACCGAGGACGTGTGCGTCACCTGGCTTAAATCAGCAACATTCACTTACATAACAATTAGTGTGAACTCGTCCGATACCATCTGGACCACTTTCACTACCTTCTCGTCCTGCCACGCTCTACTTGTCGAGATGATTGAAGGTATCAGATGAGGGGCGTCATTGAAATTCTTTCCATTTTTAAACACAGTACATTGGTGCTCTATTAAACATTTTGTGTCCTAGGTTATTGGTAAGACCCGTTATCTTAATCATAACAAAAAAAAACAGACCTTTATATCTAACTCAATAAAGCTGACCAATTAAGGTAACTTCACGATCTTGTATCTTATCAACCTTTCTATAACTGCACCAATTAAGGCAATTTTGTTACCTATAACCCTAACACTGTTGTAGATTACGACCTAGTTAATGGGCACTAAAAGTTCATTCAAGACTCGTGCGACCTTTGCGCTTTGTTGCAACTGACATTTCTCACGGCACCATCTAAATTGTGATAACCCTTTGCAGGACGCCCACCCACGGTATGCTTTCGAATACAGTGTCAACGACCCCCACACCGGTGACATCAAGCAACAAAAAGAAGAGAGAGACGGAGAAGTCGTCAAAGGTAAAGGACATTTGCTTTCACATTGCATAATAACCACAGTAATGTTTTGTGTAGGTACATAATGTGAGGTCACCCAATGACAGGAGGATAGCAATCAACGAACACTTACTCTTTCCAAAAACCTATTCTCTATTTTGGTTTCACATTTTCTGCAAACACAACTCAAAGCAACAAAATGCAATTATAATATCCTAAATGCATTTACCGCAGTACTATTCAAAGGCTCATTAATGCGGCTCGAAGGGCGACGGAAACGCATAACTTAACAAATATTTCTGTTTATTTAGGTCAGTACTCGCTGGTGGAACCTGACGGCTCCGTGCGGACAGTGAACTACGTCGCTGACTGGGAGACTGGCTTCCACGCCGACGTTCGCAACAGCAAAGACAATCAACATTAAAAATACGAATATAATTCGGACAGGCACCACGACCCAGTCGATAACATGCCTTATTTGGTCTCACCACCTGTTATAGCCTAAATTAGTGACCTAAACGGTCCTAGGTAACTTATGATTGTAAATAAATTAGTAAAACGTATCGAATTGGATAAGAACGGAAGCCGATAGCCTTGTTAGGTCAGGTAGGCATGTTGAGCAAAAAATGTGATTTATGTCAGTCAAAAGGAAATTCGGTTAATATTTGCTAAGTTTTTAGTTTCGTAGGTAAGTTAATATTATCATATATGTTTAATGATTAGGTACCACTACTAAATACTCGTTAAATTATGTATGTACTTACATTTCAGACCGAGGTTGTTTAAATCTCAGAATTAGGTACAGCCTAGTCACATCGACAAATCGATTTACTTAATAAATTTAGAATGTTTACATATATTTGCAGCTTTTTTATTCACTTAACGTGTGGGTAAAGGTATTTGAATCAGAACTCAAAGTGCCATTTACATTCGACTTTCACTATAATACCTAGAAATTACTATTATAGATGTATTCAAATTGCAATACTACAGGCAATATCCTAAAATACGTATTTCAATACCAATCATCCTTCATTTTAAATGTCAACTTCTTTCTTAAAACAAAAGAACTTTAAAAAGATTATTATACCTACAAGAAGCTCACGCCCTTCACTTGGAACATATATGTGCTCGTTATGCCCCTCTGCGTACGTCTTCGGAGATTAAAAGGCGAGATTGTTAGTGTTCCAAACAGTCATTCTTGTTATTACTTAGGCTTTAAGAATGCCTGTCGAAATGCAACGCCATTCACTTTATTTCCGCGTCATTGTCCTTTCCAAAACACAACTTTACCATCACTGTAGGGATCTCAAACGTTTTCGAATGTAGTACAAAAGTATGTCAATTGATGTAAGTAGTTATAGTTACTATGTTATCATATTATTATATTCTTCGATTTCGATTCATTCGAAAAAATCGTCGTCTATTACTTAATTGGTATTTTCTAATTAATCATTTTAAAAAATGTATGCTTGATCATATCTTAATTTTAATGTTTTTAAATAATTTGTTTCTTTAATTTTCTTCCTTTAACTTTTGTCCCTTCTTTTTGTCCATTCTGTCCTTTCTTTAACACAATATTTTACAATGTAGGGTCAAAAAAGAGTCTGTACAAGAATAACAACATAAATTGCAAAGAAACTTTCTTTTGTGGAATTTTTATGTAATCAATCATTGACATTAAGTAATCAGAGGCTAAAAATGATCGTCATTAGGATTACTATAATATTGTCGGATTTCCTCTACATACACTATTAACTTGGTATTTAAAATATATGGAAGTGATTTTTTTTTTATATTACAATCAATCTTTTAAAGAAAGGAAATATTCTAGGTATTCTTCTGATGATCATTGATTCTGTAAATAAAATAAGAAAGTAGTCATTGGAAAAAAAACAATGTATTAAACAAAACATAAATCATTTATTGTAACAAAATGTTGTATTTTTAAATAAAAATATTATACAAATTAAATAACATAAAGATTTCGAACTTAAAATAACACCCATTTACTTGAAATAAATTAAGAAAAGAGTGTATTCCTTTTTAAAAGGCTGGCAACACACCTGGGACTTCTCTGGTATTGCGGGTGTCCAAGCGGTGCTAATTGCTTACAATTAGGTGATCTGTCTGCTATGGCAAAAAAAATTGACATCATAATTTATTGATGCTTACAATTAATGCTTATCACAGTACCAACTTTCCCTTAAAACTAAATTAAATTGTCATGTTTTATGTCTTTACAAACTTCTTGACATCTTTTCCATTATAATAGCACTTTGGACATGCGTAATCTGAGTCAGCTGTTTTATTGGCCTGAAAAAAAAAAGATAAAAATTCTGATCACAAATGCAACTGAGGAGTTCTGAAAAAAAAATAAAAATTTTTGAGGGGTTGAGTAAAGGATTATAGGGACTATGATACATAAACTTGACTGCAGCATCGCTTACCACCAGGCGAGATAGTGGTCAAATGTCGGCCCATCAAATATAAATAAAAATCAGTTTAATAAAATATTATCTTACTTAAACTACTGTTTATTAATTTAATACACTGCTGCCTCGACTACCGGGCAAGGGGTCTCGGGTTCGATTCCCGGGTCAGGCAAAGTATTAAAGGGTTTTTTAAAAGTTCTCAGTAGTAGCATGGAGTCTGGAATTGTGCCCGATATATGGCAATAGGCTCACCCCCTATTACATGGGACTCTTAACATAAATAGTGAAAAGTGGGTGCTACATTGGGCAGTAGCATAGTGTGCACCTCTGCCTACCCCTTTGGGGTTAAAAGGCGTGATTTTATGTTATGTAATTTAATACATACCACTACACAGTAGTAACAAAATATGTGACTGCAACCCATAGTGTGTGGTAGGACCGGTGGGTTCTCACAGCACGCACAGATTGTTTGCAAAGTCATTATGGGCATGGTCATTGTGGCAGAGGACTTCACATGTTGTCTCCACCAAACATATTTCAGAAGGCCAGACAGTTTACTTCTCAAGCCAAATATATTTATTAACGATATTGTTGTACCAAGCAACTCCTGAAACATAATAGTATTAAAAATGTGTTTTATACTCAAGTAGTTTTAGTTGATTTTAGTTTAAATTAGAACTTACAATAAAGTTGTGCCATAGCAATTCTCTGGTCCAGGATAAATCAGTTAGGTCTTCCCTAGTCCATGCTTCTGCAGATAATTGAATTCCTAATATGTAATCAATGAGTTGTGGATATTTCCCAGTCTGTATGAACCTACAGAAGTTAAATATGTCTGCGATCAATTGAAAAGTTTCTAATTTATTTACAATATTCTGGACTTTAGTGTTTGAAGTGAAACTATAAATGGCTCTCTCTCTAAGGTACTTCAATCCAACTGTATAACCAAAGTACCAATACAGTTTACTTCTTGTAAAATAGTCTGTTTTGTAGTTCAATGACAGCATCTGCTGTCCAAATGTACTTTTATGATCATATACTGAATATTTGAAAATCCATGTCCTTATTAAAAGTTCAAGCTCTGGAAGAATTGGCTGAATGTAACGAGGCTGCAAGAAAAAGTATTATTAAAATAAAATATCTAGTACAGTTAAATGCGGTGAATAGAATTCAAGGGGTGAATAGATACAGAAAAGGGGTATATAAATGTGGGAAAATAGTCTAACACTTATCCACCCCATTCCTGTATCTATTCACCTCTCGCACTCTATTCACCAGTTTTACGGTAAGTAAAATATTTAAATAATAGATAGGTAACATTAGTAAATAAAATAAGCACTTATTGATAAGAGAATAAGATACACTATTTCAACTTACCTCTATGTACTTAGTAACTTCAAATAGTAATTGTTTGAAAAGTTCTTCCAATTGACTATCTAGCTGCACAGCATCCAGCTGGGAAAAGAATACAATAAAATTGTAAAAATAACTAAATGCGAGGATAACTGCTTTAATGTTCAATATACACTAAATTACAAACATTACATTAATTATCAGGTGTGAATAAAACTTTAGAGCTATAATTACCTGAATGTAAAACATGGAATAGGTACCAGCAAAACAAAGTTGGTGGTACTAAATCACACATACATAATCAATCAAAATACTTACTTGAGTTACTCGAGGTATGTAATTTACAGACATTTTAAATTAATCTACTAATGTTGGACGTAAAAGAACAAGTATCCAGGTTTAGTAAAGCTTGTTTTTCAATTATTTTAATCTTCCTATCACCAAATATTGAAGTTTGAACTCATTCCACAGATTCCACCCACTGCCAGTTATCATATTCGATAATGTCAAAAATGTCAATGTCAAAGACGCAGTCACTGTCAGATATGGTCACAGATTCATTTATCTGCTGATCTATAGTTTTATGTGTAATCATCTTTTATCAAGTTGTCTCATATTGTAAAATTAACAATCTTGTATTTGTCATAAAAAAAATTCAAGCTAAAAAGTCTCTACGAAGTAGACTTCTTTAATTACATCACTGATATGTTAAAGGTAAACACCCCTATACTTATTATACTTTGGGTAAACTTTTACTTCACTCCACTCCACGTCAGAACTGTCAACTGTCATTATTTGCTTCTGTCCTCTATGGAATTATGGATTTGTCATTGCTCGGAAGCCAGCGCGTTGTGCTTATTGATTATACATAAAAAGCATTTAATTTAGGTATCTGAAGGAAACTTACTACCTCGTGAATAGTTATTAAATTATGGATTATTAAAATACGATATATTCAACTAACGACATGGTTGTTTCACCACAAACCCCCGACAACGATTCCCAAAGTGTGCAAACAAAAAGAAACAACATGGCGTCCAAACAATCCTCTGTTGCTGATACTAGAGCTGAGTTAGCGGAATTGGTCAAAAGAAAGGCCGAAGTCGCTGTAAGTGGGCCCAATTATAATAAATATGATGCCTAGACCTTATGTTTGTCACCCTATGCCATACGGTGAAGAATAATACCACCAAAGAAAATACCTGGCTATGGCCTATGATATTTTTTTTATTTCATGAAAATATTTTGAGGATGGAGTTTATGGTATGTATTAAAAAATGATTTTACCTTTATAATGTGTACTGATATTTCATTATATTACATTAGGAAACCCTTGCAAACTTGGAACGCCAGATATATGCATTTGAAGGATCATATTTAGAAGATACTCAGCTTTACGGAAATATCATAAGAGGATGGGACCGATACTTGACCACCAACAAGAGTACAAACTCAAAAGCAGACAAACGAAACAGAAAATTCAAAGAAGCAGAGAGATTGTTTTCAAAATCCAGTATTACATCTATGGCTGTAAGAATCCATTCAATTAATCATTATTTTGTTGTTGTTGCAATGTCTAATTAATGTTAATAATTCTGTTCTTCTATTTTAGGCAGTTAGTGGTCTCGTTGATCCTGCTGAAGCTAAAAGTAAGTTTCAATTCTTATATATAAAGTTAGTACCTCATTGTAGTCAGTTATTTACATGTCTAATTTACAAATATTTTTCTTTTTTCAGATGAAAGAAACAGTGAGACTGAATCACAGACAAACGAAGACTCTTCGGACACACAAATCAGTTCAGGACTTAATGTTAGCAGTTTGAACCACACCACAATACATGGTTCTACTGAAAGTATAGCATCTAAACCTTCAGGAAAGCAGCACACCAATGGTGGTATTGAAAAAGTTATCAACCATTCTCAAACAAAGCAAAATTTGACACAAAAGATTGCTTCCTCATCTGGCATGTTGCAAAAAGCATTTGGAAGTGACAGTAAAATGCTGTCAGCTGTAGGGCTCGACAGCAGACCTAGTACACCTAAGGACAAGGACTCTAGTATGAATATGTTGAACAAGGGAGACATGACACCAAACTCATTAAAACACAAGATGTCTGCAACCAGTACAAGTAATAGTAACAGTATGAAGAAAAATAACAACAAAAAAGCTAGACATCGGTAATCAGACATACATTAGTGACTTAAATCTGTTTTTATGTGCCTAAAATGTGCGTACTTATCATTTAGACCCAATGTTATCAAAATTAGTTTTATTTCTTTGGTCAATTTGTAAATACATATTGTGTTTTATGTTACAATGAGTTTTATTAAGCCTAGTTTAATTTGATCTTCCAAGAGAACGCAGAATGCTTTGCTTGAATCTTGACTCTGAAATATAGAAAAGAGTTGCATCAAAAGAACTGATGGAGTTCTATAGTATGAATTAGGTATTGGTAGGTTATTCTATGTAATACTTACGCTTCAAAACATTGGGTAAAGCTCTCATGGGGCTGCAGTATCTCAGAACTAAATAATAGAGTATTGGTAACAATGAAATGATGCCAGTGGAGACTAAAAACACCACTTCAGGAGTTCTTCTGACTTTGCAGCAATTCAATGTCTTACTCCATATAGACCTTGTTGTATTCATCTGAAAGTTAGAAAAAAATTTATGATATTCATTCTGTTAATATAAAAGTTACAACAATAAGTAAATGAGATAACTTACAGAGTCTACAATGTCCATGCAAATACTGTCAACTCCAATAGCATCTGCACTCAATGTTTTATAGTAATTGTCCAGCTTGATGTAAGACTGCATGCAGTTGTCACAAACAACTTTACTGTCATTTGAAGAAGGTACTATGTACTTCATAATACAATTAATTGTTTGATTAAATAACTCATTAAAATGTATTGTTTCATTTGACAACACTGGCTGTCCCGTTTTCCAGTCATAACAGGCTGAAAAAATAAATGTAATAAAGATTTTTTTCTTTATATACCTACCATTATGGGCATTGATTGTAAATAAAGAAACAGAAATTCTATCTGGCAAAGAACATTATCACTTATCAGTATGAGAATCATTGGATAGGTGTGTGGAAAAAACATACATACCATTACAATGACCTTTCTCCCAAATACCCATTATATTGTCATGATATTCCAAAATTGCATCTAATCTGTCACGTGAAATAAATACAGATTTGCAAGAAGTTCCATTCACTACAGTCGTCAATAATTCTTGATACTTATCATGGAAGTTCGTATAATGTTCTATACAGTTTTTACATATTCTTATAGGTCTAGCATGTAATATTGAGCATTTAGTAAAATTAGACGCGTAATCAGCAAAATCACTTAAAATCTCAGAACATTTCTCAGGGAATGGTACCATATATCCTATTCCACTTTTTAATCTGGAAAGAAACAAGGTTACTTGAGTAAGCAAGTTACGAAAGACCTTAAATAGGTACCTACGTTTATTTACAACTTGGGACTAACTTACAGTAATAAATTGGCATGTCGAGCTTCTTCAGTTGATGTATCCGCTTTTAATAAATTAATATGTAAAAGTAATAAAGGAAACACCCAATAATAACCCTTCATGTTTGATTTAATCTCAATTTACATTAAAAAAACAAAGACTTCTCTGTTTCTGTTTTGTACCGTGTCTGACACTGACACAAACATTTTACAATAACAACATGATAAAGTGTCAAGTAAAATGTCAACTAGAGAGACCCTTCTTGGATTTTTGGACCTATAGAGTTGTGAAGCTAGCCATCTGACCACCTCAGATTTCAGAGTGCTAAAGTGTAATTCTTAGCATTGCACTTTATCAGCATTGCTGTTTAGCACTCTTTTCTATTAGATTTTTTTATCAGGTTATGTTTGTTGACGACATTGCCAGAGTTGTGGGGAGCCAGTGAATGCAGGTGGCGAGTTGTCCTTCAACATGGAAGACTAAGGGGGAGGTCTTTGTCCAGCAGTGGACGTCCTCCGGCTGTTAATGATGATGGATAATGTATGTTGAAACTGCCTTTATTTGCTCCTTGATCTCAAGTATCCAAGGACTTTAATTTTACGGTTTTCTAAGAACTCTGTACGCCAATCCCTAATCACCCATTGTCAATGTCATTGTTACTGACAAACAATGACAAGTGTCATTGTCATAACAAAAGTCAAGTCAGTGTCAGTGAACTGTTGTTGTGAATTGTGAATAGTTATTATTTATATTCATAATACTGGGATTTTTTCTGTAATAAATAATATATTTCATCAAATTGTTAAATAATAAATTCATAAATGCAGTAGTATATTTACCTTTACAATTCACAGTGATTTTTTGGTAGCAAAAGTACATTTTAGGAACATGGAAGCTAATGAACCAACTCCAGAAGCATTACAGAGGAAACTGTACTTTTTACTTGAGCAACTTCAAGATATGGCTCGCGAATTACCACCGTAAGACTAATAACATAACAATATATAGGTAATGGACTGGTAAAGTCAGTAGGTACTGTAACATCTTATTTTCATTGCAGGAAATACCAAATGAGAGTACCTATTGAACTACTATCTGGATTAGCAAACTGTCTTCTAAACGATACTGTTTTTGAAATAGTTAAAGGACTTATGGAAATTCAACATGTAACTGAAAAACATTTGTTTCAACAAAGACAACAGATTATAAATAAACATGCATGTAAGTATGAATTCATTTTATAAAAGTATGAAACTAGAAATTATTGATTATAAATTAAATTTATGCCTCGTTGGCAGAGTGGTCGCAAGTGCGACTGCTGGGAGTGGTCTAGGGTTCAATTCCCGGGTCAGGCTAAGTACTACAGGGTTTTTAAAAAAAAATCAGTAGTAGTAGCACGGAGCGTGGAATAGGCCATAGGCTCACCCTCTATTACATGGGACTCATAAGATAAATAGTGAAAAGCGGGTGTTAAATTGTTCAGTGGCATAAAATGTGTGAACTTATGTTATGTTGTTTAAGTCACATAATAATTATGAAGTAATGCCAAAATCACAGAGTGTTATAAATTTATTCTTCAATTACAGTGGAAATTCAAAATATGATCAACACTACACCAAATCCGGAGCAACAAGAACTTCAGAAAACATTGTTGGCATCAAGACATAAAGAAGAGTTGAGACACACAGATATGAAATTAGTTCTTCAATTAGATCAAAAAGTAAGAATAGTATTTGATTTCAACATTGTCACTTGACAATTAACTTGTATTCATGAGACTAATAACTGGCAAAAAGCCCAGGCATTATAATATAATTATGTGCTATAATCTTTCCTTCAAAGAAGAAAGGATGTGTCTGTGAATGGTTGGAAAGGTCCTGTATTTATCTGATCTAGGAGATCTTATCCAGAACTTTGTGTTTCAGTGCTGTGCATACTATTCATTATTTCAAATTATGTAGTTGACCTAATTATTTTGACAACTGTTCCAATGGAAAAAGTTCATTTACATATCAATTCCATTTGTATTTATTTACAGGTGAGCGACCAACAAGTGACTTTAGAAAAGGCTGGAGTGCCAGGCTTCTTTGTCACCAATAAACCAATAGAAGTCAAAGTACAGATGCACCTATTAGATTTTATTCTTAGACTAAGCAATATGGATATTCCACATTAATAAAAAAATATTATTACAACTTTTATCCCTGAAAGGGTAGGTATAAGTGCAGTGGCGTAACTATATCGTTCAGGGCCTGGGGTATCTATCTATCTATGGGTCCCATTAAAAACAAAAGTTCAGATAAAAACCTTTCAGCTACGGGCCTGTGGCATTTAGCCTACTTGCCACCCTGTAGTTACGCCACTTATAAGTGGATGTTATGGTATTTAATACCACTACAATGTACACCCACTTTACACCATTTATAGGTTCCATGTAATAGTGGTTGAGTGTATTGCGGACACATTTCCAGACTCCATAGTCCGGAAATGTGTCTGCTACTGGGAAATCTAAAAGAAACCAGTATCAATTTTTTCCGTCCTGGGAATTGACCCCGCGACCCCTTGCCGGTAGTCACACTTACGATCACACGACGAACGAGGAAGTCATTGCTTACACATTAATTTATTGTTATATTATAATAAAAGTATGTGAAAAGCCCAGAATGGTTTCATTGACAATCTAACCACATTATCATATTATGATACGAATGTTTAAATTGAAATCTTTCCTTGCTTTATGTAGGAACAATAAAATGTCTTTCTTGCCAATCTCCTTATAGTATTTAGTCTGTTTTTATCTCATTAGTATACATTGGACTCAAGTTAGTAACAATACTCATAAAAGCGACAAATCTCTTGAGATGAAGAAGTTACAAAACTGGATTCAAAGTCAACATGTAAAAAATGAAAGTATAAAATAAGTAGTACAAGTTTAATAATAATAAACATACGTACAAAGTTACAACATCTATGTTATCTATTGAAATGAAAATAACCAACCATAAATACGAATCTATAATAATTTACAGTTTTGTGCTACATTCATAGAACTATTCATCGTGTCAATTTGGCATATCACAATTTCATGAAATATCGCACACATGTAGGATCAATTCTTGGCCAAACATCTCCGTTGAAGCTGCGAAAGGCTGGCGACAACGGCGTTAGTAGTCACATACATTAATTTTAAAAATGATTCCTAATAAACTATAAGACACCTATTTAAGAATAGAAGCGAAGCTGCCTCTCTTCTAGCATTCAAACCGGATTAATGGACTTAGAATTGAAACCAACAGATGCATCTTGTAAAGTTTATCTTGTCATATTTACTGTCTATTATCACATCAACTTTAAATGTCAGCTAGTTTACTCTAACAAGCTATTTCCTACATATACAGTTTGTAGCAACAATTGTCGTATTTTTAAAAGCTTGAGAGTTGTTTTCTCCAGAAAAAAGTAAGAACAACGTTAATTGCCTGAACATACTTCAGAATACTTAATAAATGCATTACCTATAAATGTTTTTCAAAATGGCGTTAGGTTTAAAAATAGTTTTACTCTTTACGGGAAAAATAAAATATGATGATAATAATAACAGTGAGTCTTTACAAGGTGCCAAAGTGGTACAGTAGATATTTTGTTAGTTTTAGGTATACTTTACCAATCAAAAGTACATTAGACATATCAAAAATATTGGTATTACCTGTAGGATTTAGATTTAATTAATAAATATATCTAAAAAATAAGAAACCATGAACCTTATTGACTTTTATAACGTGTTAACATTCAAGGTATTAATATTAATTCAAGCAATGTGATTAGAAAGAAAATATTTCAAAGTTCTTACAAATTCGTTGAGTACGAACTAGTGGAGCTACTGGTTTACATTCTTGTAATTTCGTTAGATTTTTGGGCGCAATTATAATGTGATGTTACGCCGTGCGTGATTGTTTCCAATTACGCGAACGCAAATCAGTTGTTTCTTTAAAAGTAAAGGTCCAATCGCATTCACGAAGCCACACATTATTCTGTGCGTGTTTTACATTTCCAGCATGACGTTAGTACAATAAAACATTTACTGTTATTTTAGCCGTACTTAATTAAAAACATTCTATGTATTTCATACAAAACAAAATTATTTGCTAAAATTCGAAAATGCTTTAACATTTGTATTTATCCAACCCTTCCCCTTCGCGCTTAGTTGTAGTTAGTAAGATATTTAAAACTTGTAGGCATGACACAAAATAGTAAAAAAACATAAATCTCAATACACTTTCACACTTAGAAACAAAACAAAATTGCACATATAATCTACATAGTTGTCAACATTTTGTGCTAGGTACAATTCATAATTTGTGCATAAATATTCAATTAGATTTCACTACCTAATGTTTACTTTTGATGTTCTGTTGCAAGTTGGACAAAAATTACGTACTTTGTAATAAATACTTAAATTTTGAATTTGACTGCTATTTCAAATAAGTACGACTTCTAATGTAACTATTTATTTATTACGTTTACTCAATAGATTATAAACATTTTCATACTATGTCAAAGATTTGAATTGCCTTTTTGAATACTAATTAATTTCAATTTTTTTGAACACGAAATAGTAATCGTATGAATTACATATTTTTATCCAACCCACAACATATAAGATTATTGCACCACGTAAACCTTTACTAATCTATAAACATGATTTTGTAAAAGAGAAATAGAATTTTACGACCTCCAAATGATTTTTTATAAAAATAGAAAATACAGAACGCATCTTCGTTTGTAATAATTCATTTTGGTCTATTTTTAAAACACTACTATAATTTTCGCTTAATTCAGTCCTAATTTTATTTTATTAATAATAATTTAATCGGTTCAATTCCGATAGTAACATGTTTAAAGGTTAGAAACAAGATAATGAGGTAATCTAGACATTAAATTTATCCATTCACTTCCTCAGATTAATGTTATCGTTGTTATAAATTAAGATATTATTAACTTTACATAATAACAGATAAAGAGCATTGCGCGGAAAATACAACATATCGAGACGTACGCTTATCGTATCTACGCGTGTCAAAGGAATATTTATGTAACAAAAAATAACAATAAATAAACTGAACAGTTACAGTAATACTTGTAACAGACCAGACAATGCACAAGTCTTCAATATTTTTATATCAAAAATTAGCAGCTTCCCTTATGAGGCTTTACAAAATATTTAAAACAATTATCCATACTTTAAAGTACAACTTTAACATTTTTACACACAATACACTCTATGCATCTCATTTTATACTATTTTCAGCCAATCATTAGCTATGTTATGAACAAAACAAGATGGTACAAACAATGTATGATCTAGTTTGTTTTTCATTTTTTAATTTAAACCATATTACACAAGTATTAGGTATAGAATACGTTGTATAAGAACAAATACTGCAACAGGTACATTACTTCTTTTCTGTTCCATAGGAAGATCCTTGACTGATTTTAGACATTCCAATAGATTTTTGAAGAAGAATGAAAACTGAAACAAGAATATAATATTTTAGTTACACAATAAAAAAGTGAAGCTACTAGAACTACACACAAAATATTTTTATTTCATCAAAGTCAAAAGTCAAAGCATTTATTTCAATTAAACCATAGTTTGGTACTTTTAAAACGTCAACAAATACAAAATAAATAATAGTCTGTCAGTCAGTCCGTCAGTGAAATTAGGTGAAACTAGGTGCTCATTCCAAAATGTAGATTCGAATGGAGAAGAACGAGCAAGAAACTCCATTCGTTACTCTTTTTTAAAAAAGTATGTTCATCCTAATGACATTATCATTTGTGATAAAACCCGTCGTAATTGAAACAAAGAAAATATTTCGGATATTGCTATGCAACACGAAACTGCAACATTACAATTTGAAAGCAATGTGTCATGTAACTCTACGCTCAACATTGCTTTGCCTGCAACCCTGCTTTCAAAGTTCGTAGTCATGACCTAAAAACACAAGACTGCACAATATCATTTAAAAATAACATCAATATACTCACATGCTCCAAATATAGCACAGGCTATAGAAAAATATAGAAGTTTTCCACTGAACAGTAGACCAAGCAGATAGTACAACATAGGCGTGAGTGTGACCACAGCCCAGCCGAGGGCGTTCACAAGCGACCAAATAGGAGGGGGCACTGTGAACGACTCCCTTCGTTCAACACCAGACTCTAAGAAGAAATCTCCAGTGTTGAAGAAAGAATCTTGCATTTTATCCTGAAAATAAATAATGTTTATTACTTAGACATATACTTTATGCAGATATTATTAAAATAATGGTAAGTCATTCTAATTGCTTTAGTAGTATGTAGCATGAAAAAGATACCTAAGACCGACCACGATACGAAAGACCACGTAACACAGCATAAAATTGTTCATCAATTGCTTTACGCTAACTCAATTGGTAACCGTCAATACTCAGTCCCGTATTACGTTTTCCTTATCTGTACTCTCCATAACTTTTGGGTACCTATGAAATCCTTTATTAAAAATAAACATGTAATCATCTCATCAAATATTTTGGTGCAGGTCTCAAAGACGAGCACGCATACAATACAGTTCGTATCACTCATTACTGTTAAGACGTCATTGCAAATTAAACCATATGCCATTGTTCATAAGAACCACATAACTTTGCTTACGATATGCAACTTATCTTAACTATACATAATTTATCTTAATTAGTTAACAAGTCATACACCTGTTACACTATATGTTATATAAATGAAGTTTTATTACACCGATATCTATTACAGTTATCAGGTGGCTAGTTATCTGCTTATATTGTACATATTTGTGTCTCCTTCTTCCCCTAACATTTTAATTAAATTGGTTTGTGTAACTGGCCACAAACGATGCCAATGACATCAAAACTTTTATCACAAGTTAAATAAGCGAACAGCTGACAAGATAACTGCGCAATATTTCTTTCATAGAAATATAATTCTTACTTCGGATCACTGATAATATAAAATATAAATGGTTACTTAAGAGCAAAATAAATGTCTTTACGTATTAATTTGTTCCTGCTCGACATTTGCATATACAGGTAGCGTCAAATAAAGAAGTGACGCTGCGGAAATAAAACAAAAAAAACTCCAAGGTGAAACGTATAAAATTTTGCATGTTTATCACATAACAGTTTTAATATAGCCATCTTTCTAGTTATCGTATTCGAAAAATCGTGTATTTATAGCTGTTTCACATAAATCTAAAGATGAAAAATAAACAGTTTGCAACTAGATGGCAAACTCGTTACGGAAATGGTTTATTACGGTAGTTAAAGGCCGGATCGGCCACTGACTTGTGCACATTAGATCTTGGTCCGTGATGGTCCATTCGCATTATGCACTAGGTCTGAATACTAAATTCCGTTCGTTATTTTTCACAATAGAAATGTGACATTTGAATAGAGCTAACGAATCGTACAAGATATTTCAGAATAGTTCTATGGAACGTAGTCTGCATTTCGTCAGTGATTTATTTTGCACATTAGCCTTGAATAATTATTGTGGTTAGGACGCACAAGCGCACCCTATTCACATCCATTTCCGTAATTCTGCGTTTTACAACCTCCTTCCGTACGTTTACGTCGGTAAACATAACTAACATCTTCCTAGACGTAAAGCTGCGCAATGTGGGCAACTTATAAAAAAATGTTGAAATTAAAAATTTCGCAGAACTGTACTTTGAGTTTATGGCCACGGCCACGTTATCATACGGTGGCGTTGTGTGATAAGTGGATAGCAAACTGACAAAAAATGTACGATTGTATTATAATAACCTTAGCACTAGCCAGACAATTCAAGGTTCAATTTTCGTTATGATATTTACGAACATAATATTAATCTGATCTAAGAACCGTCCTCTAGTTTGAGTTATATCTAATCTATTTTATATCTTTTGTGAAAAATCAGTTCCGTGACTGATTCACTAACACTTCTGCATAGGTAGTATAGAGTTAGACTAAATGAGTGCAACTTTAGACACTACTATCTACTAGCCACTGCAAGTACAAATCTCTTTAGTGACAGTGACCCAGCTCGACTTGACAACCCTGGCGATGACGAATCGTGGGCATTCGCCACAAAACTTACAATTCGCCTTTTTAGGTCAGGTTAAGTATGAAAAAAAAGACCCTGTAGTTCCCCAAAAGTGTAGGTGTATCCGTGTATCTAAATCCACGCCCTATACAGTGTACACTTCACCAACCTCGTTAATCATGTTATTAGTCTAGTGGATGAAAATAACTATAACCCATTTATATTATTAGTTTCGATGATGTAAATACATTTAGCCTAATTTTTTTTATTTTTTCCCTAAATAAAGGGCAATTAAAAATGAAAACAGATCATCAAAAACAGAAAAAGGACCAAATCGTGATGGTACAAAATAATTTGTATGACTTACCTTTACAACAAAGAGTTCATGAAGCCATTTAGCCGCTTCACCTTCGTCTTCAGGCACTTTCTCGACCGGTATCCGCTCGATGTACAAATGAGCGTTGACCGGCTTGCCGTACAACAAACTTGTTAATGTAGGCGGAGTCTGAAAAATAAATTATTTAAGATTATATTATTGAAGAAAACATAATGACATTGTAATAAAAATGTTTTAAATTATGGACCATGGGTCGGAGGTTAACATTATAGTCGAAATTTTGATAATAGATCAAAATTAGCTGCATTGGTACATGGATTCTTTGGAAAGAGTAGAGAAGAACTAAAAGTGGATATCCTAAAATGCAAGTTGGAATCTACTTCTGAACAATGCCCTTCCCTTTAATCCTTTGGATTGAAGGTACTAGCAGCAAGCAGGTTCGCAGTTCCGAAAATTTTTAAGGCTCTGATGCCCGTCATTTTGTTTGGCTTCGTTTTACTTGTCCGATGTTCCTACGAGTTATAAGCTTTTCGAAGAGAATGTAAAATCCCACTTTATTCAAATATTATTGTCATTATAATTTAGCACGTGAGTAATAATTATGAATCATGAGTTTACCGATCTGCTAATTCTTATATTATCTGCGGTCATCCCGTCACGGACGTGTAAAGTACAAAACTTATTTTTATTCATAAGTCTCCTAATTAACCGATAACATATCATAGCGATGTAATATTGCATAAGCATGTGTGTCGCCGGTGTTGGCCGTAGCTAGAGTGTACTTACAACTTGACTGGCCAAGGTTTTACACATAGTAACTACGTACCTACGAGTACCTATCGATTGTTGACCTTTACTTAACATCGAAAATTAGATGAAGGGTCGCTTATTATGGTTTATAATGCGTAATAAAATATGTGTGGCACATTGTACTTATCTAAGTTCAATGTGCATTCATATCACCTTTGAAATTTGGCCCACATCTGGGCATTAATCAATATTTATATAACAATAAATAATTAATCGATTACCGTAATCAAATAAACAATAAATAATTAAGCGACTACCTACATATCAAGAAAATCCTGAAATTTATAGTTATAATTAGGGCTTTATCGTTAATTGACAGTATCTTAATTAAACAATAACGCCGCAATATTACATGATAATAGTACAATAATAGTAGCATTATCTGTGGTACAATTGAGACGTTCTTAATGAGTCTGTGGTAGACAAAACATTACACTACTCAACACTTAAAAAATATCTGACCCAATTCATATTATTTCATAATAAGCTTGACCAATATAAAAATACTGTATGCATTTTATTTCGATATCACATCTGGTTATAGAGATAAATATTTTTTTATTTTTTTACCTACCTACAA